TCAAGCTTCTAGAGTATAATAAATGATCAAGAAACAACAATCAGCCTTTTCAAGAACTCAAAACATAGTTAAACTGTTTGTATCATAAAAAGTGGGCTCATTTGTGCACATGCGCAGATCGGACTGTAGATCACCTTTAAATACGCCCGAATTTATTATTATGATAAATTCGTGGCACATTATCAATTTATCAATAGAGTTAATCATATAAAAGCACAAGCATTAGACAAGACGTTCTGTTATACTAATCTAATGTCACTATAAGGGCCGCGCTGGGAACGGGAGATCTTCAAGATTTTCAAAAACAGTTTAAAAAAGTTTTAAAAAGGTTTTAAAAAAGTTTAAAAAGTTAGATTGTCAAAAATTTAAAGTTAGAAAAGTTAGATAAGGGCTAAATTAGGGGTTAGTGCAATTATGGTTGGGTTTGGGGTTAGGGTTAGTATTAGGGGTTAGATGCCGCGAATTTATCATTACGATAAACATAATTTATCATAACGTGTTTGAGAATTTACTCATATTGTAAATTCAAAGGTGGAGCTCATGCTACACAATTCATGTATAGGTCACTTAATAGATTGTAATAAATGGAGTCGTTCTCTGACCAAAAATAATTTATTTTGACGAGCTTTCGGCCGCTAGACTGTCAAAATAAATTATTCAAGCTCGTCAAAATAAATTATTTTTGGTCAGAGAACGACTCCATTTATTATGCCTTTACCTGACAGCGCTTCATCTATATTTAACTAATAGATAGTACTCAATATTTTCGGGATCAATTTTACCAAGAAGTGATTCAAAGTGATTGAGCTTTTCAACGGGCGAACTTGGTGGCCCATACTAAGTTGCTATTAGAAATGGTTTCGATCTAAGTTTATTAATTACTGAAATACATAAATTTTCCAGTTGCTCAGATGACAAATAGAATCATGCTTAAACTGCCGTTCAACGTACTTTCCTTTTATATATTTTTTTTCACATTTTGTTCGGAGAAAAGTACATTTCAAGCTTGGTCCTATAAGTCCATTAAAGTCACTTCATGTATTCTGTTACCTTTATTGTCAATAGGGTGGATTTTTTAACTTTTGGGTAGTTTTTTGAGTTTGAAAATTTCGGACCACGGTCAAGATATCGTAAGAACCTGCCCGCTCCTGCAGCCAATCAGATTACATGAAATCGAAAAATATCACTGGGCATACACAAACAAAAATGGTACATAACATCCACAGCTTCTGTAATGCAATTTGGTGAATGCGGTCTTACCTCCCCATGACGCGTCTGAAAATCCACCAAAAATATACGAACCGACTCGGATAATCGTAACAGTCGCTCCTTTATAGTCACACTTAGAATGGAAAGTATACGAACTCCAGCCATTTCGAGTTGCGCGGTAACATAGTGACCAAGAAGTCGCAATAGGAACCCACTGTGACAGTTGCCTGATAAAATTAGCTTTCCCACGCAAAATTTGTGAATCCATGAACTCTAAACAATGAGTGATTATAAGCTTTATCAGATCAGTATGTTGTACACTTACTGGTCACGTAGAGACGTTTTATGGGCGTTAACTGGATGTGCGAGATGCGCACCTCGGAAACATCTTTTTCAGATACTTTTCTGCTAATAAGAATAGAATATAATTCGAGATGGAAAAGCGCACATTTATATACACCTTAAAAAATTTGTAACACCTTACAATCCCTAACATTCTAACCTTAAAAAAGACAATTTGAGGTAATATCAAAATAAACGAAAGGTACAATTGGTGAGCTAAAAACCATCATGACCATGCAGCCGAGAATTGAAGTAAAAAACAAATTCCGAAAAGACAAGACATCTTGAGATTACAATATATGATTCGAGACTGTAAATTTTCGACTTTATTTCAAAGTCATCTTCAGACACAATGAAATACAATACTTTACAACACATATAATTATGTGCATGTGGTATTAATTATTATACATGTATATATTATTTAGTTTCCTTTACACTAATCAGTCAATTCACGTGAGAAATAACAAAACACAGAAATAATATAAAAAACGTCTTACTCTTTGTTAACTGTTTATTCAATGCTTGTATCTGCTTTTCCAAATTCTTTAATTTACTCTTAATTTGCTTCTCCATATTCTGTTGATTCTGTTCAAGTACTTGTTGCTTTCCACTTAACTGGTTGGCAGATGCTTTTTGTTTAGCATTCAGTTCTCGCAGAATAAGCTTATGCTCACTTTGTGCCTTAAAACACAATGAAATTAAATAAACCCAAAATTAAACTTTCTGATCAATTCTCATCTTGCTTCCTACATTCCTGAGAGCGCTTTTCAGTTTTCATGTTAGTGCATGTATATACACGTTAAGATTTAAATTATTCATTGCCTGCCCTCAAGTTTAGTATTCCCTCAACCGCAAATGCCTAATAAAAGAGAGAGAGTTTACTCCTATTTAATTTTGAATACCATGCAGCAAGTATAAATGAATTTAATTCAGCATAATTATGCGAACACAATACACTAAATGTTAATACTGTAGAACAGATATACTTTCTTTTCCATGGCAATCTTGCTCCACCCTTGTTCACCTTTCACCAGAAGCTGTTGATTTTTTTGACTGAAAGCTAATAGTCCTTGTGCAGGAGGAATTCGTTTCAGAGTCTCCTTATTTGGAACAACTAACACCTAAAATAGACTTCGAATATTTTAACAGTTTTCGAAATCAACGCTAATCCAGGAAAGTGTGGTGAGTGATCTAAAACGAATTTTAAATTAATTAAATTTATGAGACTTTTCATGCGAGACGATATTCTTCTTCAAAGCTACCAACGGATTGATACAGATTAACCCTGATGTACTACCTACGCCTTACACACCAATAAGACCGTAGGGCAGATTTAAAGGGGTGCAGATTAATAGGGGGTAGGGCAAATTAATATGGGGGTTAGTATCTCATTTAACGTTAACATTTTAGCCACTAATTAATCTTTTTCCCCTTTTGTCAGTTTGTCTTAATACTATAGTGATATATGGGACCGCAGCAATTAACCTTTGCTATTGCGGATACCCTGCCACATTTTACCTCTGACAGTCGTTATTGTTAATTGATTGTTGAGTTATGTAATTCTAAATCATAGCTAGCTCTTTTTTATAAATTTTGTCCGCAAAACGTTATGCATGCATGGGCAGTTTGGAATCCGTGCTATAGTATTTTTACCACTAAAATTATTTTGAAAGGATTGTTTTTAAAAACCACTTTAATTAAAATGCTTGCGCACAAAAATGGCTTAAAACGCAATTTGAATTCACAAAGTGCAAATATAGATGGCGTTTTTTTAAGTATATCAAAATATTGGACAATTTGACATTAATTTAGTTCAGCGCGCGACCTCTATAACTTATATTTTCTGCCATAGTAGCCTAAAGGTACGTTTACACATTCCCCCATATTAATCGAACAGTACAGCTTTAAGTAAACGATATTTTAAAAATTGTGCTGTTCACGTCATCTGACGACATCCTCAACTGGCAACATTCGTCAATAACATCACAGAGTAGAGACATACAGAGATTACGTTATCATGGTACCCACTTTTTTTAGGCGACCGGGCGAAAAATGATCAACTGCGCGTGCTCAGCAAGTTTAAAGTGAGTCGTCATCAGGTCGTCATCCAATCAGTTGAATGCATCTACCTGCAAGAAAGAGACCAATGTGTGCACTTTAAAGGAACTTTGTCATATAAGAAATCTTCTCTGTATG